TATATATTCCATTTAATTGGTTTCACCCTCATGTCATCCAACCTGTCCATGTAGGCTTCTGCCTAATTTGGCTGCTTCTACTAAGTGACAGATGAATTTATGTCAAAATGCTGTAAAGTTTGATTGGACACCCAGCCTTTGACGTCAATAACAAAAGCATTTTCCTCACCTTTTTAGAAGCTGATAAGAAGCATATTTATTTTGCTACACTAAATATACTCTCTTATACTATATTATGTGGTTAGTTGCATTTAGCCATATCATAAGAGACATGCCAGTTGTTAAATGGAGATTTAACACTTAAATAGTGACAAACAATAATTACAGCTGAATAAATGCACACAAAAAAAGAAGGTTTAAAAAGTTAAAATGTAAGGTCATTAAATTACCAATAGAGAAAGATGATTACTAAATATGCAGTCAAGCATAATGTACCAAAGCCGCATCAGAATGAACAACAAGGTAATTTTTGCATTTGAACAGGAGCTGTGTTCCCATATAAGCAACCACGTAATCTATAATCCTGCACAAACAGCATTAATGTGGTCCTTTATTTATTTGAGTATTTCATTAAATTTCACAAAGGACTCACAGCTTTAAAAAAAAAAAAAAAAAACCTTACCAGGCTCTGAAATATCTGACAATCAAAAGCAGCAGCATTAAAAAATAAATAAATCTATCCACCAAAAGTATACTTAAACATGGCTCTCTCATTTGACTCCAGGTCTCATGAATCATTTTAACTGTCTGAGATAATTGCATCAGATTTCATTTATCAATAGAGCCGTAAGCTTTGAATAGCGTTCCTTTATTAAAGTTGAGCAGATGGAGTTTGGTCTAGCATTGCTCTGCTCTGCTGCCCAGACACAATGATATGCAGCAGTGCTAGACACATCCTCAAATGCATTGAGAGGACTTTCTTAAGGCTATCTTGAAAAGATTAATTTAGATTTTGGGTTTCATTGGGACCAAGGTTTAGCATTGCAGATAACTTGTGATCTTGCCATGGAAACCTTTTGACTGATATCTTTGCCTTTGTTTGGAGAAGAAAACCACATTCTTTCACATTCGTTACAGTGGAGATTAGGACTAGTAGTCATAACTGCTATAAATAGTCATTTTGAATCAAAAGTCCAGGATTTTCTGTAGCAGTGGTTTTGTATGTATCAAACATTTCATTATTTTAGTTATGTTTTGTGAATTCAGTCCTCCAAAGTAAAATTATAACACCATTTATTTTGTTTTAGCTGTTGGGTAACAAATGAACAAAAGGTCAAAATAAAAGACATTTAAACAAGGATCAACTATGTTGTGAAAGTAGATTTTTACTGAGAATTGAACTATAATCTTAGAACAAGGGAATTTTTCAGGTCAGGGTTGTCACATGTTTAAATTTGTTTGAAAAAAAAATTGGTTTGATATATTTATTATGTTGCCTTTTTCATTAATTGTTTTTTGTTTCCTAATTGTTTTGGTGTTTAAATTTTTCTACAAGTCCTAAATAGCCTGTTTAATGTTGCAATATACAAAACTGTCCCATGAAATGTTTCATTTTTTCTCCAAAAGTATGACAAATGACCTCTGTTTGCTTTATTTTCCTCTTTTGAGATGCGTGGATACATGAAAAGATACATTACCTAGAAATACTGTCATGAAAACCAAATCAATCTTAATCTTAATCTAATCAAGTCTACCTGGTAAAACATACCATACTTTTCCTGAGAAAGCAACAGAGAACAAAATTCAAGAATTTGCAGTGTTAATTCTGATGGCAACTACTATCGATGGCTCATGTCCACAATTTAGACTGAGCTCTAGAATGGGATAAGCTAATGAGCAAACAGAGGGCAATTTAAGACTGCAGCCAGAATCGCTGTTACTTTAAAAGTACCTGTTTTATTTGAAGGCTGTGCTTGAACAATTTTGAATAATAACTCCAAACTAAATAAACCTGGCCATAATTGCTTTTGCAAATCAATTAAGTTCCGTTTGAACGAAAGCCAAAAGGAGGACCAAGGGACTTCCATTCAGCGTTAAACTATGCTGAAGCTACGCTAGCCCAGGCTAATCTCAAAGACACTCGGTCCCTTTTCGCCAGTGCGCATCCCTGTTAAACACTTCATGTGGAGTGAAAGTAATCTATGAACACATGCAAGCACACACATGCGGCTCTGCTCCTCTTCACATTGTCTTTCTCTGCCTATTTTTCTGTCCCTTTAGTAAATATTGCCTGCCTGTTTACATTGTCAGCATAAAGAGCAGAAAATATATATATAAAAAAAAAAAAAAAACTCAACAGCAAGCATCTTGCATTCTTTTTCCTGGCCGTCTTGTTTACTTTTTATTGACACATAGTTCTCTATAATCATCTTTTCTGTCTTAAGCATCGAAAATCTCTGCATTCCAAAAGCCTGCGAGTCTAAACGTATTGTCGCTCAGATCTGAGCTTCATCGATCGCTGTTTAGAATCAATCCTCGGCAAGCAGATATTTCCAGGAGAAATCCTTCACTTCTCTTCAGTCTTGTTCGCTCAACTGGGATCATCTGATGCTGTCCTCAAATCACATCCTAAAGCGCTGATCTGTACTCTTGGAGAGACTGAAAAACACCCAGTGCTGAACATGGCAACCATCTCATCAAAGCCCAGACGCTGAATATCAGAACTCAGGCTGAATGCACAAGTGAGAGTTAAATTGAGTTATCCTGTTTAACATAAATATAGAATTAACACATAGAAGGACTTACACAGCTGATGATCTGCAACAAAGGGCAATCTACATATGCCTTGTAAGCATGAAGATTTGTATCTACTATTTAGTGTTTAAAGATAAAGCAGGAGCATCATTCAAAAGGCCCCTGGTGAAATTATTTGGGCCAATAGGGGTCATAACTATGGCCAGGCATTTAGTCATTTTCATCCATCTCCAAAACAATACAAATGCTGAGGCAAAATAAAAAGAAGGAATGACCATATCCAAACAGCTTTGTGGATTGGGAAAGGTTCCAATCCAAAAGGTATTAAATATTGTGCCACATATTTAATATAGTTTAGTTGTGATACATATAAGTCTATGGCATGTACCCCACTCTTCAAAAGTTTCGGTTTGGTAAGATTGAATGTTTTTGAAAGTTTCTTGTGCTCACCAAGATTGAATTTATTTGAGCATAAATAAATAAATACAAAAATATTGTGTGATATGATCGGAATCTAAAATAACCATTTTCTATTTCAATATATTTTAAAATTGTATTTATTCATGTGATGAAAAGCTGAATTTTCAGCAGCCATTACTCTAGTCTTCAGTGTCACATGATCCTTCAGAAATCATTCTTTGAATCATATGTTGATTTGGTGCTCAACTTTTTTTTATTATTATTATCGATTTTGAAAAAAAGTTGTGCTGCTTAATATATATTTGTGAAAACCATGATCATTTTTTTAATGATTTTTTGATGAATAGAACATTAAAAAACAAACTGAACAGTAGTGTACATAGAACAAATTAATTAATGCAGAATGGGGGATATCCTGTTTTCTTCTTTTTTTTTTACTATCATCAGTGCACAAAATGTGTGTAAAGTAAATTCACATCTTACAGCTTACAACAATTGCAATAATTATTTAATTAAAGCATCCAAAGATACCCACTCGTAAAGACAGCATTGATCTGTATTTTATTATTTTAGTCTAATTGGAAAAAAAAAAAGAAATGATTGAATGAACAATTCAATGACTCACTCACAAGGACAGTCACTTGTCGTCACCTACTGGCATATCGATGTAACCTGCAAGAAGAGTCATTGAAAACCCCCCACCACTTACACACAGACTAACAGACAATCTGTCTGGAACAAACACATACAAGCTGAGTGATACAAACAGTGAAACGTCCCTGTTGTATAATGTGGATTATAGAACCTCTTGAATGCTGAACTGACCAATCAGCATCCAGGACTGGAAATGTCCATTCAACAGTATGTTTTTAACATGCCGATACTCAATGTGTAGACGTGCAAAAAAAAGAAATACCAGTGAGACCTGCACTGATCTCACCTGAATCACACAACCTTGATACTCAAGTGTACATGTACTCAAGTACAATGGACAAAACAAAAAAAGACTGGATGACTTGATTCATATCAATGCAGCACAAAGACTGTCAACAGTGCCCATTGTACACAGTTCCACAATATATATTCAACAAAAATCCAGTGTGTGTAAGGATACAGTGGAAGGAGTAAATGCGTGTGCCATGCAAAATAAATAATACTAATCTAACAGCAGCACTTTCTTCTCATGCACTGGGCAATGTTTACTTACAAAGCAAAAGCAAACATTCAACTAACGTTTAATGACATTTGACCTGCTCATGCAGTGTGAGGGAGTGTGAATGTGTAGATGGGCATCCAAAAGCATGGAGGTACTCTACCTGCTTGATGCTGCGGCTCACCTGGGCAGGTGGCAGTGTTGTTGCAGAGTCGGGTTTCCCTCAGTGGGCCGCTGCAGAGGGTCCCGTATGGAGAGGATACACATGAACGAGAGCGAACCTGCCAACCCTGCCCACATGTCAGCGAACATACGCTCCACTGAGACCACTCCTCTGCTGCTGGGTCACCTACAAAACACAAGATGGAGAAAAAAGGAAAATCTTTAAATTTTTGACCCAAACACAAACCCCAGACTTCAACATCCGTCCTGAAGGGTTATGTCACACTACCACCTTCTGTAAATTCCTGTGAATAAACTAGAACAGCTCTGCCAGGAATGTTTTTTTTTAAGTATTCACAAAAACATCCAACAATTCATTTCACATCTCCAGCTACTGATAAGGTGTTGTTAGGTCAGTGGCAGTCGGAGCCACCTCATCAGCTTCGGCTGAACGTGACTGCTGGAAATATGGCACGTGAAGTTCCCTAGTCGTTTTTGTCAGCCGTGTTCTTGGATAGAGGCGACATCACGAAGTGAATGGGCAAATCAAATTAATTGCACGTCTTGTAATCGCATTACATTTTCATTTGCATGTCGTGAGTCAGAGCTTAGCCTTATTTGCAGAGCAGATGGGTGGAGAATAGAAGGTAGGGGGCTGATGGGGACAGGAATGTCAACGGGAGTTTATGCACATAAGTTTTCTTTCACAGAGATGGAGACTGAAGAGGGGAAAAGGTGTAATACAAATTACTTCAACATGAGAATGTTCAGAAATAATATTTATTTTATTTTTTTAATTGTTGAAAATAATTTTTAAAAATTTAACTTAATATAAAAGTGTTGTGTATTATTTATATATACTATGTATATTTATATGTATTATTTAGATATTAAAATATGTGTGTGTACCTGTTTTTCTATTCTGGTGGGGACTTAAACCTGAATACACACAGACTCATGGGGACTCGTGTCACGGTGGGCACCTAAATTGAGGTCCCCACGGGTAAACAAACTAATAAATCACACAGAATGAAGTTTTTTGAAAATCAAAAAAATCTGAAAGTTTCCTGTAAGGGGTAGGTTTAGGTGTAGGGCAATAGAAAATACGTACTGTACTGTCTGTACAGTAGAAAAAGCATTACGCCTATGGAGAGTCCCCACAAGGATAGCAAACCAGACATGTGTGTGTGTGTGTGTGTGTGTGTGTGTGTGTGTGTGTGTGTGTGTGTGTGTGTGTGTGTGAATTTATTCATTCCGTGTTGCATGGTACTTCAGGAATCATTCTAACATGCTAATTTGGTGCTCAAAACAGTTTTTGATGCTTAATATTTTTTAAATTACTTTTAAATACTTTTATTCAGCAAGAACATCGTAACTTGATCAAAAGACACTAAAGACACACACATACTTTAAGATTTATATTGTAATAAATGCTGTTCTTTTGAACTTCTATTCATCAAAGAATCCTGACAAAAATGTATTATGGTTCCCACAAAAATTTTTATATTACACAAAAACATTTTTATCACTGATGATAATAAGAACGATTATTATTAACTGAGCAAAAATAATATGTAATAATAACTGAGCATCAAATGTTACACTGAAGACTGGAATAATTTCATTCATTCATTGTATTTTATTATTTACTTACAACATTATATCTATATATTATATTCTGTATATTTATTTGTGTTGTCAAACAATTAATCGCGATTAATAGCATAATATATGTGTGTGTTCTGTGTATATTTATTATGTATATGTAAATACACACACATACAGCATATATTTTGAAAATATTTACATGTATTTACATGTCTATATTTATATTGATGTAATTTATATTATAAATAAATATATTTAATATATAAGCATAAAATATTTTTCTGAAATGTATACATGCATGTGTATGTATTTATATATACATAATAAATGTACAAAGCAACTTTTATTTTGGATGTGATTAATCGTGATTAATCGTTTGACATAACTAATATTTATATAAATAGAAAGGTTAGATATATATCCTGGAGGAGTTGTTATTTTCAGACTTCTTTTTCTCTTAAAAAAAAAACGAAACAAAAAAACATCAAAGCGCTGTCCATGGTTCTGAAATGCAATTCAACTAAATAATGAAAGGAGATGGAACTCACCTGTTTGGGCCTGGAACACACCCGGCTGGTCAGCTGATCGCGGCCTTTGTGTCTTCACCTTCTGCTCATCATCATCAGGTTCTGGACAGACATATGACAAAATGTCATATTTTAAAAAAATATGATAATAGAGGCCATGTATGAGATCTAGAGGTTATGGTTAATGTGCTTTCAAGAAGTGGTAGCAACGGTAATATGATACAGAACACTAATAACTAATAATTTATATATACTGTATTAATATATTTAATAATAATATATTTTTTTAAATCCATACTTTATATATGGAACTGACGCATAAGTTTGTACAATCACAAATGCTAAAGCCCACACATACTATTAGGGCTGTTTTACATTTACACAATAATGTAATACATCTCTCCACTGAGCTGTCTTATCCTGAAATTAAATGTAAATCGTTCCATTGTGTGAGGAACATTTTAAATGTGCTGCTACAAACCTCATCTTGTAGTAACTCATGAGTAAACCTAAGCCAACAGAGACCTGTCACCAAAGTGTTTATTATATCTGGCCTAGTCTTCAGGGCACATGAAAATCCCTCATAATGTGAACACACACTCATGAGAGCATATATTTCAACTCCTCCTCCCTCAGATGAGGCTACCTGCCCCCAAAACGTGAAGTCTAGTGGAAAGTGGCTAATTCCCTGTCTACATTGCTGAAGTCTTTAAATGAGCACATTCGGTGTGTAGTGTCATGAGTGCCAGAACAAACCAAATTAATCCCAGGGGTTAATTTCTGACACCTCAACCTAAAACATATAGGAGTGTTTCTGGTTAATTCCAGTTAGTTGCACTCACAATTTAAATATTCATATGTTTTTGTTTATTTATGTAATTGGAAAGAACAAACTCAAAAGTATGAAAACTTGTTTCTGTCACAGGATTTAAAAAAAAATCCTCTTGTGGCTATCTCGTAATTGAGAATTTCTTCTTGCAATTTTGAGTTTAAATCTTAGAAATCAAAATTCAGAATGATTTATCGCAATTCAGAATTGAGATATAAACTGGCAACATGTAAGAATAAGAATAAAAGTCTAAATTGTGAGAAATAAACTATGAGTTTAAATTGTGAGATAAAGTTACAATTACTATTTTATTTTTTACTTTGTGGTGGGAAAAAAAAGAATTGCGAGATGTAAACTCAGATTTTTAAGAAAAAAAAATCAGAATTAGAATTTAATTTGGAAATGTAAATTGCAAGAAAAATTGCCAGAATTCTGAGTTTATATCTTGCAATTATGGGTTTATGTTTAAATTATGCAATAAAAAGTCACAATTACCTTCTTTTATTTTTTAACCATGGTGTTAACAGGCTTTCATACAAAAGTTAAGTGTGTCTCATTTCATTTGTGCACAGAGAAAGTTTGCACAGAGAAAGAGGAGAGAGAGAGAGTAAAAAAACACACACTTGTTCAAATTAATGTTAATGAATCAACATTAAATATAAATGAAGGAGGGCGTGTCCAGAGTAATTAGCATACAACATATCCAAACCATCTCCATATAAGGGCTTCCATACAATCTCTCCTGTACAGTCATTTTCTGAAAATATGTCTACAATTACGCATGGAGACCAATTTCTCTCTCCCTCTCTGTCTCTCTCTCTCTTAAATGTTTGCTCTTTTAATGCTGAATGTGTTTGTATCTAATGTATAGAATGCCCAGTACACTCATTCAGCATGTGGCACTCTCTTCTCTGGAGCAGATTGGTCGACTTGACCTTTTGCTCTGAGTGTGTGAAAAGATGAGCTGCGTGGGTTGCTAATAAATTCCACAGGCATATGCAGGAAAAGAGGATGTTCATAAGATGTAGCAGGAAGAACGGAAGGAAGAAAACACTAGAAAACAAGTGGATTCTCTGAGGCTCTTTCTAAATTACCATGAGCGTTTATGGATGCTTAGAATAATTCACAATCATGAAGCACATCCTCAACATGAACTAAAAAAAAAAACATTTTTTGGGGGGGTGGGGGGAGATCATGATTTATACCTCAGCGAGTTCCTAAAACCCAATGCTAAATTCATCTCAGTCAAGAGGTAAAGAATGAAGCACCCCACAGACTGCATGTGTACGTTTCCATTATTTTGTTGCGAAAAGTAGTTCACAGGTCAGTGCGGATAGGATTTGTAAAGATACAAATGCATTTGAATAATGTAGGACACAAGACATTTGACCTGCATTTAAAACTGAATGCTTCAAAATGCTTTGATTAGATTCTAAACAAAGAAAGGTTTAAACTAAATGTACTGCGTTTAATATATGGATGTGTAATACATATTTTCAAAAGACAGAATTTGACTCTCTAAACGAACTTTAACTTGACACAGCGTCTTAAAAATGCAAAGCTCATAGCAAGGCACTTCAAAAACATTGTGAAACACAAGACAGACATCGTATGGCTGTAGCAATGGTGCATTAAAAGATGAATTTAAAGACAACTTTCTAACAGCTAAAGCACAGCAAGCTAATTAAACCACCACTTCTAAAAAATAATTTAAACAATCACAATGACATATTTACATTTATTTATATAAGAACTTAAAGTGTTTTTATTAAATAAAAACAAATTAATTTATAGATATAATTATATATAAATATAAATGTATTTATTTTATATTATATAAAACATTATATCATTTATTATATAAAAATATACATTATTTTAATTAATAAAATAATTATTGTTTTTTGTTTGTGTAGTTATAATAAGTAACATATATAGCTGACCAATTTCTACAAGAAGTTAACATTTTTGAGGATACACACTAACAAGCTAAATATAGAAGCTAAAGAGTATTTTGAGACTGTTTGAGAACAAGAAAACAGAGACAAAATAAACTGTGAGAAAGAAAAACATACAGTACAGCATAAGAAAGGAAGACAGGCATTCATTAGCAAAGAGAGCAGCATCATATACATTGGAGCGCATGGGATGGATGGATACTCTAGAGACTTCCCCCTGTTGGCTCTGTCACACAGACCTGATTACCAGCGCTCCCCGCAGGGCCTGTGTTAATATGCTTATGATAGCTCAGATGCGCACGCAGACGATCACACTAATTTACTCTGTCACGGAAAAGACAATAGTGGTGTCAGGAAAGGCGGGGGGTTGTTTCTGCTTGCTTTTTGTATCTCACTCCTACGCCTCCCTTCACTCTGCCTCTCTATGCGGGTCTACGCCACTGTCTCCATTCGGCAAAGGGCGAAGAGAGTTGTTCAGTATGATAGAGACAGAACAAACACGTCCTTTATCTTAATAGCAGACACAAATTCTGGGTTGAAGTATACCCTATGAGCTCTTATGTCTTTGATCCAAGGCATTTCAGCACATTTCTCAATAACATTTCTCAATAACATCTCTATTAACCACCACCCAGCTCCTTCCTGCCGCATTTCACAGAGAGTCCAGCCTGCATCCAATAACATCCACATGTTTAGAAGGAAACAGCCCACCCTTCTTTAGTCTTCATCTTGACCGTGCTTCAGAGTAAACGGAGTCATCATACAGTACTGTGGCCTTTCAAGATTTAAAGGAATAGTAGTGTTTTTTTTTAATCATTTATGGAACCACATGTTTTTCCAAACTCGTATGACTGTCTTTCTTACAGTATGTGTAACACAACAGGAACAATTCAGAAAACTGGGGAATGGGGACAGCAGCTTTAAAGCTTCAAAAGCATTAAAATGAAGACAAAAGATACATGAAAGCACCATCAATGTAGTCCATGTGACTTGAATGCTAAGCACTGTATGAGGAAAAGACCAACATGTAACTCACTGAAGTCATAAAAAAAATCATACAGGTAGGGATACACCAATATACTGTACACAACTGTTCCAAAGTCTCTTTTGCTCACCAAGGATGTATTTATTTGATCAAAAATACTGTTAAAACAGTAATATTGTGAAACATGTTTGCAGTTTAAAAAAACAATTTTCGATTTTAATCTAATTTACAATATAATTTATTCCGGTGATGTCAAAGCAGTCATTACTCCAGTCTTCAGTGTCACATGATCCTTCAGAAATCATTCCAATATGCAGTTATTTACTGTTTTGTTGGAAACCATAATATTTATAATATTTATTTTTCAGGATTATAGAAAGTTTAAATGAACATGATTTATTTGGTTCAGTTCCAGTTTTGCTCCAATACACCTTTCTGTAATTATCAAGTAATTATGAAGATCTCAGTTAATTGGTTCAGTTGTGTTTAATCGGGTTTGGAGCTGAACTTTGCAAGACGGTCTCCAGGAACAGGATTGGGCACCCCTGACATACAACACCAAAAATATATAATTAGGTTATATAAATACAAAAATAAGAGAAATGGGAGAAATTAGAAGTTTCCAATATCAGCTCATTTATATTGTTAAGGATTGGAATTACATGATGTTCAGGCGAATTAATTATGCTTCAAACGCCTTTTCTTTTTTCAGTAGAAGCACTGAAGAGATGCTCAATCTATATACAGTATGTTATAGTACAAACCTTGGTTTCTTCTTATAGTCGATATTTTATTCTCAAGCTGAAACTCAGTCATGTGGTAAAGCAGGATTCTCTAGAGATGGCTGCGGCAGTGGGGTGTGTAACCTGCCTAAGAGTCCAGCACGCTAAACAGATGTTCAGCATCCTGGGACGTCTTCTGTACATTTCCCCTTGAGAGCCAACTGTACTTTCCACCATCCGGTGTGTGTGTGTGTGTGTGCACATGTATTTAATGCTAGCACTTTAGCACTAAATGAGAGGCTGAATTATGTTTCCGCCACTCTCACAGCTTGTTCTTGGAAGCCGGAAATGAATTTAAGCGGTTAGCTCAAACTGAAGCCATTTAATTAAACGGCCTGGCGGTGTGTCTGTATTACTCACTTGTGTTCAAGTATAGCTCAGTATGCTGAACATCCAATACTGAGCTTGGGTGTTTAAAGACGCTAAACCACATTCATCAGTTAAGGCAAACTCGCTTTACATTAGACATGGGTCACGACTGACTAATCGATTAGCAAGATCAACCAGTTGTTCGTATTACATAAAAAATATCGTAAATAATCATTTTT